GTAAAATTTTTGCATGATCCTAGTTACTCTGGAAAATTACAATGCTCTCCAGTTTGGAACACACTGATTATTTTTCAAAACTTGTGTGAGATTTTATACAATGAGAAATAACTCTTCTTGACAGTGGCATGTCCACCCAGGCTCGAGTGGTGACCCTCAGATTTCCTCTGTGCTACATCACCTTGCACTAGACCACACCTTTCCTCTCTCCTCCCCCTTCCACACTTTTCCCTCCTCCACCATCAGTTGATCATCTGACTTCAGAATCACTCACATAGGGACAGCTCATATTTCCCACAACCACAGTCCAGCTTCCCCATACCCCACAACCTGAGCTGCCATCTCTCCCATTGATAGGGATGAACAGGCCCCACCCAACTCAAGAACCCTACAAACTTCCCTCCAGAAGTTATCCCCTCTCTCTGTGCATCAACAGTTTCCCCTCTAGCCTGGATTATTCTCTCGAACGAGCTCTCATTTCTCCCATTGCCCGCTGCTCACTTCCCCATCTTCACTTTCCCAGCACAGCAAGGGAGTGGTCCATACCCACAGCCTCTACTTCCTCTCCTCCCACGCTTTCTCCAATCCACTCCAGCCAGGGGTGGTCCCTACCACTCCCGTCTATCAAAGACACCAATACCCTCCAGGTGACCAAGTTGAAAAGTCAGCAGCCTTGGCATAACTGATGACTCCCTGATTCTCAAAACATTCTCTTTCACTTGGCTCCAATTCTTTCTCTCCTTTCCCTCATGGGCTGCTATTTCTCAGTCACTTTGGCCAAATCTCCTTCATCTTCTTTATCCGCTGAACTCTAAATGTTGGGAGTGCCCCAGGTCTCAATCCTCAGACCTCTTCTCTTCTTTTCTCTTCTCTACTCATGTTTCCAGATTCTCTAAGCTGACTGACACACAGATTCCTGTCTCTAGTCCAGACCTCTCTCCCGAAGGCTAGGTTCTCATGTCTCATTGCCTACTCAACTTTTCCACTTAGATGTCTGATGGGCATCTAAAATTTACTACATTCAAACCCAAATACTTGAGCTTTCCTTCCATACCTGCTCCTCCTATAGCCTTCCCTGTCTTACTAAATGTAGTATCCATTAATCAACTGTTCATGCCCAAATCCAGAATTCCCTTTGACTCCTCTTTCTCTCACATCCCACAACTGAATAATCAGTAAGTCCTGTCTGGTTTAATTTGAATATACACCTAGATTCCATTTATAGTCATCACTGTAGTCCAAATTACCATCACCTCTCTCTTAGCCTATCTCAATAACCTCAATAGCCTCCTAATAGTCTGTGCTTCCATACTCGTCCTCCCCTTCCACTTCACAAACAGAATGATCTCTTAGGAGTCAGGGCCAGTCATGCCCTTTCTCTGCAGAAATCCCTAAAAATGTCTTCTCGTTTCACCAAACTATAACCCTACTGGCTATCCCTCTGGCATCATCTCTTGTTACTCTCCTTCCTATTCTTCTGTATCAGGCATAGTAGCTTCTTTGCTATCCCTGGAGCATGCCAAGTCCTCTCTACCTCAGGGCCTTTGCACTTGCTCTTCTCCATATCTGAAAAGCTTTTCCTCAAGATAGCTTCAGAACTTGCCCCTCACTTCATTCATATCTCTGCTCAAATATTCTCATCAGGGACTCCTTCCTTGCCCCCACCACCCTATTTAAGAATGGCTCCACCCCTATCACTCCTGAGCTCCTTTACATACTCTATTTTCTTTTACAACACTCTTCACCCCCGTATATTATAACATACAACTTGATATTATATAATATTTATATAAATATTATTGTATATAGTTATATGTATATTTATATATTACACACACATAGACACACACACAGGCTCATTGTCTTGTCTCCCTCTGCCACCCCCATCTCATCACTAGAATAAGAATTCAACATCCCCGCTTGTAGAACAGTGCCTACCACATAACAGGTAGCTCCAAAATTGTTGAACAAATCACCAAAGTTATTCAAATTTCATCAGTTCTCCCAAGTGTCACCTGTGCAGTTGCTGAGCTGGAGTTTTATGGTTTAGATACATTTTGAAACATCAGATTTTGAAATAATAAAGCCTACTCACAATTCTGAGGAATTTGCCCAATGAGTAGAACTCAGTTTCTTAACAGAACTTCCTTTAATACATTTGTTCCTCCTGGTTTTGGCATTCTCCCCCTCTAAACATCTTACTCTGTTCTCTCATTGGACATTAACTTTGTCCTGCTATATCTTGTTCAAGGTACCACATTTAAAATTCTGCCTACTGTTCTGCCTAAGGGAAACTATTATATCTTCTCAACATCATCAGATCCTCTAATTGGGTGCTGGAGAGCAAGAAAATCAAGGACTTGTGAACTGCTCATTTCTTCTGTCTTCCTTTGCTCATTTTTTGTTTCCTGAATAATTCTTCCTATCTTATTTTACAAAATCAAGGAGATTTATAGAAATAATGTTTACTGACTTCAACGCTATGGTTCAAAGTTATTATCCCCGGAAATCATATCCTGCTTAGAAATGTATCACAGATGAACCCATATTCTGGATCAGTGCACACACGTAATTATATAGGGAAAAAAAGTATGTCAGAAAAGGTTGAATGTTGCAGACATGGGAAATCAACTGACCTCTACTTAAGTTACTGCCACGAATACACAGAGAGAAGAACCTGCATCTGTTTCACATTGTAAATGCCTGAAGTGTCCAGAGCAGCACCATAAACCCAGGGAGTGGCCAGCAAATACTCACTATAAGGGTGCTAAGGCCGTCCATAGCCTAACCTCTGAGGTAGTACTGTTAAGAGTGTCCAGTACTAATTTCATATAATTCTGAATATGTTTTTATAGGCTTTAAATCAAGTAACCTACTTCTAACCATTGAAAAGGAAATAACTCACTCCTTACTAGGCTTCAAGCTCCTCAAAGGCAACGGTTTTGTCTTATTCACAGCCACAGAGCCACATGATTGCAGTACTAGACAGGACTTTAGAGGTCAACCAGTTCTAATCCAACCACCTTGAAAGACTAGGTAATACAACCTATCACAGTTGCGTTTGGTTTTTTCATCTCTAATTGCTGTTCCATCTCATACATGAGAATTTCAAATGAAGCAAACTGCAGTCTGAGTCTTTGGCAAGTAGACTAATTGAAATGACCTAATAGCCTTTGTTGGACCCATCTGGGACCAGAAGCAAGGTGGCAGTAACATCCCTTTCCTCCCCCCTCCACATCCCACACCGATGTGCCCAACTCCTCCTAGCTGGGCAGCCATGGCTGGCTTGTAAAGAAACGAATTTGCATGGCCCTCACAGGGATCTTCTCAAGCCTGGCTCTAGGAAAACATCGACTGGTGCTATTAAAATGCACAAAGTTATCACACTGGCGCTCATGTACTTACAGGAATGAGGAATGCAGAAACATCACCATCCACAAGACTAAGAACTGGCCCTGCCAAGGCAGACCGGAGATCAGTCTTCTCGGTCCTTGCCAGGGCACCAGACAGGGACCTCAGAAGCAGGGTGTTTTGTCAACAACGGCACCAGACCCAAAGTCAGGAGACTGAGACCTGCTCCAAGCTCTGAGGCTTCTCTTCATTTGAAAATTGTAAAAGCTAACAGAAAGAAACTCTCCATGCGGTTCCAGACCTACATGAGAGGCCCTGCAATGCTGTTAGGAAAATCAGCTTGGCCCCTTCAGCTTCCTTTCGTCCATCTCTTAGCTTTCCACACAGACGGTCAACATTGGGCCTTTTAAAACTCTGCCTCAAAAGAAGGTGGTTCAGAGTAACACTTTGGCTGATATCACAAGACTCCCAGGGCAATGCTTCACTGCTTCCTCAGCATATGCCAGTGCCCATTTTACAGGGGGGGATTTATGATCCTTCTCTCAGTAGAGCAAGCCAAAGTTTTATAATATTCATTAAAAATCAGCACCACATGTAATAATATGGAACACTGCCGGTACACAAGGGGGCCAAGTTATAGGTGTTCAGGGAAAGTGGCAGAATTTCTTGGCCTTGGCAAGGGTAAAGTTGCAGGCACCAGCACTGCACTAACACAACCTTCTTTTATTGCAATGTTCGTTCAGTCTAAGTCCTAATTACTTTCTGTAAAATCCTCACCACCATCAAGCTTTCTTCTGACAGGGCAGCCACACGATGGCCTTAAAGTGCAGCAGCAACACCCTGGCAGCCTCCAGAGTAAGAGGCAGCGGAGAGCGTGGAACACAGTAGGAGTTGGGGCTGAAGCTGAGAGCGAGGCTCTTCATTTACACTTCGCAACTGCTCTCGACCCTTCTAAAACAAGTCGTGGGGGCTCATGGACTCGCTCAGTGGGACGGGCCGAGGCCCTCGGGTGAAGGATTCAAACGTTAACACAGCTGGGGGTCGGAAGCTACTCTTCCTCGCCCCACCCCCACTCATGGGGGACCCAGTTAGCTTTGTGGGGTCCCGTGGAGCATCTTTTCCCGCCCCTCCTGGGAAACGCTAGACAACCCAGGAATCCCAGGTCTCGACGTCTGGCTCCTCTTCCTGGGGGGGTATGGCCCTGGGCTCTGCACCCCTCCCCACGTGCCACACCAGCCCTCCCCACTCCCCCACCCCACCCCACAAGCCCCCAACCCTTGCCTTTCATGGCCCTTGCGAGTCCCGAACAAGGCCGGACCCAGCCAGGCGGTCAGCCGGGCCGGGAGCAGGGGGATCTCCCCGCCGCGCTGCTGCACAAAGCGGGGAGTGCGGCGGCGGCTGAGGCGCGCCCCCTCCCGCGAGCCGGCCGAGCGCGCGCGCCCGCCCCCGCCCCTCGCCCCCCACCCCAGCCCCCGGAGCGCCATTCGCGGAGCGGCTTACGCTAGTCGCCAGGCGTACGGCGCCCCAGCGGCCGGGGAGGTGCGCTGCCCGGCTCCCGTAAAGTTATTGTGAATGGGGAGCGGGTGACGTCAGCGCCGAATGTCAACAATGTAGCGATTGAGAGTGTGGGCGTTCCGGGGAGAGCGCGAGCCGCGCGGCGCGGAGCAAACAGCGCCGAGCCGCCGCCGCCTCAGCAGCAGCAGCAGCGATCGTGCACACCCGGGCTGCGGTCGCAGCAGCGCTAACGTGAGCGCCCGCCGCCGCCCTCGCCACCCCGCCTGACTACTCCAGCTGCCGCCGGGCTCTCGCTTTCTCTCCGGCCTCCCCTCGACCCTTCCCCTCCCCCTACCCGGCACTCTCGGGGGGCTGGGAGCGAGCTGCCATGTGATGCGCGTCCTCTCGGTGAGCTTTTGGTGACCCCCCGAACCGCCCACCGCGCCGGCTCCCTGGAGGGGGCTGCAGGCTGGGAAGACGCAGGGAAGAGGAGGCGGAAAAGGACGCAAAGTTCTCTGGCGAGGTGAGTCCCCGGCCCCGGGTTCCGGGCCCCGGCGCCGGGCGGGGCGGCGGGGCAAGTTTGCGGGGTGCGCGGGGCAGGCGGGGAGGCGTGGGGGAAGCGGCGCGGGAAGGGAGCTGCGGTCGCCCGGCGCGCAGCGGCCAGTCGAGCGCGCGGCCCGCTTTTATGGCATTTTCTAGGAACGGGAAGGGGGTGGGAGCCGAGCCGGCGGACGCGCCGCGGCGAATATGCGCTCTCTCGCCAGGCTGTTTACGGCAGGCGAGGCGGCATTGTATTTTGCTCGCGTCGACGGGTGTTTTGGAACAGCAGGGGGAGGAGGAGCAGAGGGTAATAAGTCAGCGTGGGGAGGGCGGGCTGGAGGGAGGCGCGCGTCCGCGCAAGCCGGAGCAGCTGTCAGATCCACGGCCCTGTTCCCGGCCCCCAGCCCGCGATCCCCGCGCCAGGCCCGGCGGCCTCCTCCTTGCCCGCGGCGTCCGCGCCTGGGGCTGGTGACTGCGGCCAACGCGCCTTCGCGCTCAGCTGTCAGTCGCCGCTGGGTAGCTAGGACCTCCGCGACTGGCGTGGCATCAAAGCCCAAGTTTAGGGTCCCGGGAAGAGGCAAGCTGGGGGCCTCGCAGCACAGACCGCGGGAAGCGCGCTGGGTGGAATCCCTACTAGAGAATGACCGCGTTATCGGAATGCGTCCCTGGGAGCTCGAACTGCGGGGCTCGTGCCTTCCGACTGGGAAACCTTGCACCTTCCTCCCCCCAAGATTCGACATGAAATCAAAGTGCAACACACACACACACACACACACACACACTCTCTCTCACACTCTCACACTTTTTCCTCCCCACACTTCAGTCTCCAAGCTCCACCTAGGAGAGGAGTTTATCGAGGAGACGCCTCTCCACCTCCCCGCGCCAAGGCTCCCTGTGATCGCTCCGTACTCCTCTCACGGGTGGGTGTGCTCAGTAGCCCAGTGAGGTTGAAGAGGGCGGCGGGCGGCGCTCATGGACTACCCCAGCTGCTCGCGAGAGGGGACTCGAGTGAGCATCTCGTCCACCTCAGTCTGGCCTAGGATTTGCAGGAACTCGAACCGTGGGAGGAAGCAGGCAGGGCCGAGCGTATGCCTGTGAAAAGGGCCGCGTACCCTTGGCTTCGGGGGTTGTGGACGTGCCGGGTATCCCCAGCACCTTCTCGCGTGTAGGCGAGTTTGACAACTTGGGGGAAGTTCCGGTGTAGGCGCTGTCCCGATGGTTTTGTCTGTGGCCGGAGAAGGCGCGCCTCTCAGCTCTCGCGCCCGGTCACCGCGGTCGCTGCGACCCGTGGCCCCTGAGAAAGGGGAGGGACGAGGGCGCCCCACCCCCTACTGAGCCGCAGACTACCGGCGGTCCCGCGGGTAGCCAGACGCTGCGTTCCTCACTTTTCACCTTCACTGTCTAGGGCTGCAGTCGTACTATGTGTGTAAATTTCATCTGTTGAGCGTATTTAACTAAAAAGGGTAATTACTTCAGATAAAAATCCTTTTCTGCCTAGTGGGAACCTTGGCGGAGATGATGCCTAATGAGATATTTTGCTTTTGTCTGTTTAGAGTAAAATTAGAGATGTTAACTCTGATAACGGTTTTCTCAGATCATTAAAATGTAACATGTAGGAAAGGCATGTCGAGCCGCGAAGCTCTGGCTGACGTGAAAGAAGCTGCGCGTGAAAGGCTGCCACTCTCTCCGCGGAGAGGGCTATTTTAGTAAGGCAGCGGGCGTCTTGCTTAAAATGTGAGATGGCCCCACCCTGGTTCTCTGGCAGCTCCCGAGTAAATGGCATTTTTCATTCTTGCAGGTAGCAATAAACGTGAGTCAAAGTGACATCTTGTTAGAATTAGTCTTTAGTCTGTAAGAGAGATTGCTAAATTACAGTGTTGCGTTCAAACTGCTCCAGTGAAAGGTCTGTCAGCATTTCCATTATAAATTCAGGTTTTCAGGAGTTTATAATTTCACCACAAAACTTGTGGTGGCTGAAGTGTTTTTCCCTTCCAGTGTTCTGGTTTAGACAATACACTGATTGCCCAATTCTGCCCTATTTGCTGTTCCTGAAACTTGGAATGTCATACACGGGGGGGGGGGGGGGTCCCCAAAATGGAATATACGACCATGAAATGAAAAACTTTTGTTAGAACACACTTTATTTATGCAGAGCAATATTTTCATTTCGGATTTTGGAAGGCCTTAGGTTTGACATTTGGTAATCTTAAGTGTGTTGAGTTAATTCCTCTGGTATCTGTCGATTGTGCAGGTGGATCGAAATATCAGTTCGTATTGTATATGCCAGGATTACACGGAAAAACATTCTCTTCATACATGTGTATGTCTGAACTCTCAGCTAAATTATGAATACCCATTTTAGTTACTTTTCTGTTCTTTGTAGATTGCATGTGAGGATCTGCCATAGGGAAGGAGTAAGGCAGAAAGGGAGGGAGGGAATCAGAACAACCCACTCCCCCCCTCCCCAATTCACTTTTCAGTATCACTAATGCCTGGGAGGAAACCATTTATTCTCTTTCTATTGAATCATGCCTTTGACTCAGTGTCTTCAGGCAAGTCCCTTCCAGTGGCTCAACCTCTGGCTGCTGTATGAGGGGCTTAATTATTTGCGAACTGCCTTGAAATCCCTGGATGAAAGGCACTGCATAAGTGCAAAGTATTGTTATTCAGATATGGAATTTAATGATCCATTACAGTTCATCAGGAAATGCACTTTGCAGTGATGGTAGGAAACGTTTCCACCTGATAGAGGGTAATAATAACTGCTTAAAAGTAGGTTCAGATTACAGATGAGACAATTAACTCTAGCCATGTGCTCTTCAATTTGTTGCAATTCATTTTGTGATCAAAGTGAGTCGCAGAGAGCCAGATGGTCAGGTTCATGTTCAAATCTCTCCTAGGCCAGCCCTTCACTTCTGGGCCCACTGTCTGCATGCCGTCGGGACTTATTCATTAGCGCTTGTGAGCTGTTCTGCAGAATGTATGATCAGGGACTCCTGTGATGCCAACAAAAGGGCTCAGGCCTATCTATATTGTTGGGAGCAGTTTAATTTTACTTGGATTAACTCACGCTTAGTGTCTCTGGTATGGATCCAGCCTTAACAAGGGAGGAGAGGGATCCTAGAGGCTCTCTAGCTCAGCTGTGTAGCTCTTTCACTCCCCTACCTTTTGTACCTCAGATTTCAGGCGGTATGGTATCTGGCTTGTTGTAAATGCTGGCTTCGTTGCTGAATGAATGACAGAATACTTAGAGAAATAAATACCCTTCCTGTTTTGCAGAGGGGGTGTGGTGTACGACCAGCTTTGTGGGCATGTGCTTGCTCTGTTGCATCCTCCTCCCCGCTCAGAAGGATCTCACAGTTGGTTGAATCTTCTGTTGTTAATCGTCTTGAAATCCTTAATAATTCTTGAATTCAGAGCCCTTCATTTTCATTTTTCACTCTCCTGGTGGGGGAGGGGGGGTGTAGCACGAAGGGGCAGGCAACCACTACTTTGTCTCAGCTTCTTGTCGTGGGCTGTTGCCAGGTAGGAATGGGTGGGAATACTGGCTTTGTGTTACCATGTCATCTGATTTATCCTAGAGGAGCTGTTTATCTGGACTTTTACGTGGAATTCTTAATTTTTAAATATTAGCTCAAAATTTTTTAAATGTTGGATGAGATACGCAGTTGCTAGATCTGGCCTGCAGGCAGCCTGTCTTCTACCACTGAACCAGCTAAAACATCTTACTGTTTAATATTTCTGTATCTGGCTATTTTCTAAGTGCCTGGCACATAGTAGATGATCTATGAGTCTCCACCAAATAAATGGTTGTAGCCATCCAAAAAGTTGCAAGATGCAAGAAAAACAAAACTTGAAATCCACACTGAGTCCCACTCAGGTATTGATAAATTTCTTTTTGAGAGAGAATGCGACATGAAAGGCCAGAGACTTAATACCATGGGCACCATGTAATCCTCTGCAGGTACATAATCCCATTGCTTTTGAATAACCTTGTTCTCTATGTAGTTGTTATTGACCAGATGGGGTAACTTGGCTATTTATTGCCTGAGGACCTACACAAGAAATTGACATTTGAAAACACCCACTAAAATAATAGCTATGATTTGTTGAATGCTCATTATGTGCCAGAAACAGTGTTAACTAATTTACCTGTACGTATCTCATTGGCTCCTCAAAGCAACCCTGTGAAGTAGGCATTGTGCCCATTCTACAGAAGAGGAATTATCTCATTTTATGTTGCCAAGAATTTCATCTGAATGCAGTGTGTGTTTTCTTGACTGCCTAAAGGTTATTCCGCATCCTGTATACACAATCCAGCCCTGAGTCAGTGACTAGGTGTGAGGTGGGGACCATGGTAAACAGAGGACATGGTTCCTACTCTCCTGTACAGGGAACAGAAAACAATACTAGAGGCAACATCTTTGTCAAAACCTACGTTTATACAGCAAACAGTGCATCTGCCTCCCCGTTCCTCCCCTTTTCGTAACCGGATGTTAAGGGAGCTCCAGTGACATAGGACCCTACCAGAGGCACTGGAGGATTGGAAGCCAGGGCTGGTTGTAAAAATTTGCATTTTGGGGGAAAAGAAGATAAACTTCTGGCTCCACCGGAGCCACGTTAGGCAAAGCAGCAGCAAGTCCTTGGGAATGACAGAAAATCACTCCTGTTTTGTCAGTGACAGTGTATGACCTAGTCCTGGCCCATCTTTAAATTTTATGTAAATATTTACACATTGTTCGAGTCCAAACTGAAACCTGCTGTGAACTAAATATTTTGTAAATTCAGATAGATTGCCCACAATATCCTTTTTTTTTTTTTTTTGGTCTAAGACGTTTCATAAAAAAGTAGTTTTCTTTGCCAATTCAGCATTTTTTTCTTTTACTTTTTTCCCCTTTTCTTTTCTCCTTCTTGTTAATTTCAGATGTCAGTCTACCTAAAACTGAAACCTAATCTTACCATCAGCATGCTGCTCAGCTTCCC